GCTCCCAGGGTGCTGTGTTGGGTCTTAGTTGACTCATGCAAGATCTTTCATTTTGGTGCACCAAATCTCTCTTTGTGATGTGCAGGCTCAGTAGTCACAGTGCTTGGGCTTAGCTGCTCCATGGTTTGCAGGATCTTAGTTCCCCCGCCAGGGATCAAACCCATGTCCCCTCCATTGCAAGGTGGATTCTTAACCACTGGATCACCAGGGAAGTATGCCTTCTACATTTTAAAATGTCTTGCCCACAATGTGTTTATCATCTGATTTGGTTAATCCACTTTCTCAGGGAAATCATCAGCCACCCACACAAAGATGTATAAATAAGGCTGTCCACCGCATTACACTTACAATAGTGAAAAATGGAAAAATCCACATACTAGAGTACTGTGCAGTTATTAAGTGTTAAGTTCTCCAAGACTGATGAAGCAGGGAAATGCTTACCATAGGGCATTAAGTGACAAATACCTGGTCACAAAACTCCACATATGGTTCTGATTGTTTTTTAAGTACTACTAATATATATTGTCTTCCCAGGTAGTGCTAGTGGTAAAGAACTTGCCTGCCAATGCAGGAGGCACAGGAGACATGGGTTCGACCCACTGGGTCAGGAAGATTCCCTGAAAGAGGAAATGGCAACCCATGCCAGTATTCTTACCTGGAGAATCCCATGGACAGAGGAGCCTGGTGGGCTACAGTCCATAGGGTCTCAAAGAGTCAGATATGACTGCATGACTGAGCACAATACATACTGAAAAAGCCACTACAGTGTTTACAATAGTGATTCTTGGGTGGTAATATGACCAGTGAATTTTCTTTACTATGCTTTTTTGATTCTCCTGAATTTTCTATACTAAATAGGTACTACTACTGTAACTGGAAAATGAATATTTGGGGTTTTAAATTTCCCCAAAAATCTAAGGAAAAGGGGAAAGAACAGAGGTCTGAGGAGTACATACTTTGTTCTAGGAGTCTCACAGATATGCTCACCCAACCATCCTATTGGCCCTCTTGACTCTCTGTTCGCATCTGACAGATCAGAAAACAGGCTGAGAGGTGAAGCAACTTGCTCCAGATCACACAGCTAGTGATGCTGGGAGCCAGGACCATGTCTGGCTGAGTTCACAGCCCAAATTCATTCCACATGTGAGTGCACACACATACATACTTGTTGCTGTTATTCAGTCACTCAGTCGCATCTGACTCTTTGCGAGCCCATGTACTGCAGCACACCAGGCTTCCCTGTCCTTCACCATCTCCAGGAATTTGCTCAAACTCATGTCCACTGAGTCAGTGATGCCATTCCAACCATCTCACCCTTTGTCACCCCCTTCTCTTGCCTTCAATCTTTCCCAACATCAGGGCCTTTTCCAATGAGTCGGCTCTTCGCATCAGGTGGCCAAAGTATTGGAGCTTCAGCTTCAGCATCTGTCCTTCCAATGAATATTCAGGGTTGATTTCCTTTTGGATTGACTGGTTGGATCTCCTTGCTGTCCAAGGGACTCTCAAGAGTCTTCTCCAGCACCACAGTTCGGAGGCATCAGTTCTTCAGGGCTCAGCCTTTTTTATTGTCCAGCTCTCACATCCATACATGACTACTGGAAAAACCATAGCTTTGACTGTATGGACCATTGGAGGCAAAGTAATGTCTCTGCTTTTTAATATGCTAAGTTTGTAATTGCTTTTCCTCCAAGGATTAAGCGTCTTTTAATTTCATGGCTGCAGTCACCATCCACAGGATTTTGGAGCCCAAGAAACTAACATCTCACTATTTCCATTGTTTCTATATATTTGGAGTGGACGTTTTTTGAAAAAAACCTAAGAAGCTGTAATTTTGATCTTAGAGTCTCAAGGTCACAGGGCTTCCAGTCTGGCCTGTTGGCCCTGGGCACAACACACGGTGAAGAGCAGGCATGATTCTGCCTGTTGGTGCAGCACTGGACAACTATTGTCTCAACTGAAACTCACAGGGATCCCATGAGTTTGGGTAGGGCAGGGATGATGCCGTAATCACCTTGTTACTGTAGAGCAAAGACACTTGTATCTTTGAGAGGGGAAGTGAGATCTGGTCAAGGTCAGGATGAATGAGGTGTGGCTATACAACCCTCCCCCAGCCCTTCTTCATAGCTCTCACATCCCTATACTTCCTCTCCCCTAGCAAGTGCAAAATCCAGGAGGCCACTGACACTAATGAGACCAAAGAATAAACTCCAGAGAAGTGAAATCAATTCTTTTTTTTTATTCCACTTTTTCTTTAATTTTTTTTGGCTGAGTTGTATGGCATGTGGGATATTAGTTCCCTGACCAGGGATCGAACCCACGCCCCCTGCATTGGGAGCACAGTCTTAACCACTAGACTGCCAGGGAAGTCCCCAGTTCCGTTTTAAAGACAGCATGTAATTGAGACAGGATGTACCTGAATGGCACAGTCTTTCCCAAGTTGACCTGAGTGGGCTACAGGGGCAAATGAGGCTTCACCTCAGACAGGCAGACTCCATCAGCTCCCCTCACCTACCTGAGTTCCCAGCTCTCCAGCACCTAGAGAAAACTGCTAAAGACAGGATGCAGGAAGGAAAGAATTGGATCAACTTTTATTTGGTTGTTAAAGAGGCAATATTTTAATTCTTTCTGAAGGAGTGAACAGTAAAGGGTGTCCCTCCCACTCCCATTCTGTACCCTCTTCCGCCCTTCCGGGCTCCCAGTCTCCACCCAGGAGGCAAACACTCTCCCTAGCTTCTCTTCAGTCACTGTGGAGGAAGTCTTACCTGTCTACACAAATGACAATCAAATTTCAAATCCACTTCCTCCCCCCTCCTGGTGATTTTAGACGTGTTGAAGAAGGGACTCAGCAGCCCTGGGTTTTTTTCCTAGCTCTGTCACTCACTGTGCACCCTAACTCAACTCCTCTGAGCCCTGCTTTCCTCATCTACAAAGTGGGGCTACTGTGAGAATGAAGCTCGATTCAATGCTATATAAGTAATTCCATTTTTTAAAAGTACTATAAATATGGAAATGGCTGGGTCACAGCAAGGGGTAAGTAGGTCAATGAAGTAGACACATTTGGGCCCAACCTCAGGCCCTGAGAGTGTTGCAGCTCCCCCAGGAGAAAGGTGGCTGGCTCTTCTGGGAGAGGAACAGAGGCAGTCTTGGGGGCTACCCTCTGCATGTCTGTTATGATCCCCTGCCCCCTGTCTTAGAGTCAGATTTTTATTAAGGGCCCCTTCCAGCTCCTGGGTCCAGGAGAGGTGTCTAGGCAGTGCTGGGAGGTCACTGACTGACCTTGGCCCAGGCAATCAGTTGTCACTTAATCTCCAAAGCTCCACTCGGGGACCTGAGGGGTTCAGGGCCTAAGAGAGGGAAACCAAGACAGCCACACAGATATAGGGGAGCCTGGCAGACAAGATGGCAGATTCCCTCACAAGGTCAGCCAACAAAAGGGTCTGAAATAGTCTCCCTCTGGTAGAGGTCAGACCAGCAGAGATTTCACAAATGGTTCTTCAACTCTGGTTGGGTACAGATCCCTGGGTGGGATCATTTGTCTCTCCTTCCATCCACCCATCTGTTTGTCTTCCCAAAAGTGCCTGCTAAGGCCTAGCCAGAGACAAGCCCTATCCTTGGCATAAGGCCACATCCTCAGATGAATCAGATTGGGCCGGCTGGAGCCAGTGGGTGGAAGACAGAGGACGTCCCAGGTGGAGGGCACAGCAAGGACCAGGGCTTGTGGATGGGAAAATGTTGGGCCAAGGCAGATACTGAGATTGAGTGCAGGGTGGAGGGCATGAGCTCCTAGCAGGTATGCCGAAGGTCATGGGAAGGCAAGGAAAGGAGGGACAAACAGTGGGCTGTAAAGAAATAGGCAAAGAGATCAGGACAGTGGAGGAAGCAAGGGAGAGAAGGAGAGGGTGGAGGTAGGGCCTCATACTTAGTTCCATGGGATGAGCCAGCTGGTGCTCTGTGGGCCTGTCTTTTTAAGTATTTATTTGGCTGCGCCGAGTTTTCATTGCGGCATGTGGGATCCTGAGTTGTGGCATGTGGAATCTAGTTCCCTGACCAGGGATCCATTGAACCCTGGCCCCCTGCATTGGGAGCGCAGAGTCTCAGCTTCTGGACCACCAGGGAAGTTCCCTGGGGTCTGTCTGCCTTAATGCCCAGTGGTTAAAGTCCAAACTCCCCACTCCCATTATGAGACCGTGGTTCTGCCTAAGCCCTCCTCCTACCCCAGGGCTCCCAAACCTCCACAACCCCCGGACACCAAGGGAAAGTAGGAAAGAGCACAAGAATCCAGGAGTGAGACAAATGGAAAGTAAAGCCCTCAGTCTCTAGCTAGAAGATCTGCGACGAGAAGTCACTTCATCTCTCTGGGCCTCAGTCTCCTGCTCTATGCAATCAGGCTAATGCAAGTATACCACCCATTGCTGTAGGAAAGCCGAGGGGGTTAGGAAACAGGAAGGATTCAAAGCTTGGCCCAGCACCTGGATCCTTCCCCAAACGGGGGAAACTCCATTCCTGGACACTTGATGGTCAGTACAATTTGCAGTTTCAAGGGGCCCCAGTCCAAGAGGACTCAGAGCCCAGAGCCCAGGTCTCCGGTGGTGGAATTTACCGCCAGGGACAAGCCTGGGGAACGGACCGGGTGTGGAGAAACGGAGGCGGCCCTCGAGGGGTGACTTCTCCTGCCCCAGAGGGTGTACGCGCTCTGGAGGGAAGGAGGAACAGGGCTCGGCCAGGGTCAGCGTGGGGGTGGGGTTTAGGTCCCCTCGACACCCCCCACACAGCCCGCATCTCAACTCAGGGCTCAACTGGCTTGCGGGGTGGGTGGGAGAGGGCAGGGCGGGGCAGGGCCAGCCTCTCTCGCCCTACTAGGGGGTGGGGGGGCGGGTCCCCTGGGAACCGCTCCTCCCGCCTGCCGCCGCTTTAAGAGGCTGCTCCGCAGCAGCGAGCGGGGCCGGAGCCGCAGCCCGAGCGAGCAGAACTGAGCCGAGCCGGCAGGTGACGGCAGCGGCATGACCGGCCACCACGGCTGGGGCTACGGCCAGAACGACGGTAGGCACAGACCCCAGCCGGCCCCCATCCACTGGGACTCGTCCCTGACCCTCCCACCCAGCGGGACCTGAAAGCCCCCTATCCTCCAGGCGAGATGGGGACCCTTCTCCCATCCAGCCCCCAGAGCCCGGCCCACCCGCTGGGTCAGAAAGCCCTGGCATCCCCCGCACCTGGCGCAAAGTGCGCGCTGCTCTCCGTCCGGCCCCGCCGCCAGCGAGCCAAGCGCGTCCTGCCTCCTCCTCCGCGCAGCCCCTGACGACCCAGCTCGCTGGGACCCTGGCCGGACACTCACTCACTCAGGCCCGCCGGAGTGCGCAGCGGGTGGAGGCAGCCCAGGGCAGCTGGGGGCGGTCCGAATGCAGCGCGCTGCGCGGTGTCTGTGCGGGGAGCGCGCACGGCTGGTGTGCGGTGACCTCCCGGGAGCTGGGCTCCGCGTGGGCAAGGGCGCGGTGTCCCTGGCAGAGTTTGCCCGTCGAAGTGTCCAAGCTTTCGAGTTGGCAGGTATGTGAAGGAAGGGAGCATCTAAGGGCGCTCGGATGTGTCTGCGTGTCTGCCTCTGGCAGGATGTCTGAGCACGTCCTGTTGTGAGACAAGGGAGCCGGTGGCCCACATCAGCCTCCTGGTCTGACCCGGTGAATAGCTCCTCGATCCTGCCTCAGTTTCCTTAAAATGCAGAGGAAGGGAGAAGAGGCAGAAGGTGAGAACCAGACCACTTGAGTGTGGGTCTGCAGCAGGGCAGTTCCTTTGAAGCTATTTCTTACCAAGCTGGGATGGGGATGTGGGATAAGAGTTCTTAGCTTTCCCTGAGGAACCAAGATCCAGAGGAAACCAAGGCAAGGCAGGTGGGGGTGGGAGAAGGGGAGTGCTGGTGGGAGGAACCCCCCCATCCCTACTTATCTGCAGAGAGGCAGGCACTCTGTGAGGGGTGGATGGGGGTCCTGGGTACCAAGTCTGGGGGTCTGGGGCTTACAATTGGGTCAGAGAGAGTTAGGGAGGTGCTGTGGGGGTCTTTGCCCCCGCTCTGAGGTCCCAAGCACAGAGGAGCATATTTTGAAGGGGAAAACCCTGTTTGGACATGCAAAAGCTAGAAAGAGATTTTCAGAAAAAAGGCAACAGAGATCCGCAGAGATGCAGAGAGAGGCAGAGAAGGGGCAGGTTGACAGAACCCTCCTAGAAGATTCTCTCCCCCCATCCCCAGCTCCTGCTTCCAGCCAGCTTCTGCGTGCCTCCCCCAGAGTCAAAGTCCCCTGACTTTAGCCTTCTTGCTAGTCCTGACCACCAGCACTGAATGTCCAGTATTGCATTAGGGCTGCCCTGTAGCTGGCCTCCCTGAAGCTTCTGTGCCTCACCCAGTCCTGGGTCACCCAGCCTAGGGACAGTGAGGGCGGGAAGGACAGAGGATGGAGGTGCTGGCATGCGGCATGCTCGCAGGACTTCAAAAATAACCCACAGTGGGTCTGGGCCACGCTTCTGAGTCATCCACTGGGGACACAGCTCTATCGGCACCTGCTGCTGTTTTCTCAGGAAAACTTAAGAAGCCAAAAACGGGGAGAAGCACCAGCCGGCAGTGGCTCTAAAAATAGGCTGCATCTCAGGATGTTCCCCAGGGAGATGCCGAGCCTCTCGGCTGCAGATGGAATCTCTGGGAGGCAGGTGGTGGGTGCTCGTGGGTGTGCACACAGGTGTGCATGTATGTGCATGAGCATGTGTTTTGCTATAGTCTCTTAGTGCAGACCTGGGTTTGCAACAGGGAGTATCTACATGTGAGGGTGCATATATGTGTGTCAGAGATACTTGGAAGAGCTGCACATTTTTACACATGTGTTACTGGGCCTGCCCGCTCTGGATGCGGTGAGCTCAGGTCACTGTGCACATATGTCTGCGCACATGAAGATCTCCCTGGACCTGCACATGCCCAAGGAGGGCAGCTGGGGGGCAAGGCATGCACACACTGTGTGTTTACTCCTGTACCCAAGTGTGCATGCGCACGTGCACAAGTGACTCTCAGTGCCCTCATCTGTGAAATGGGAATCACACTTGTCTCTACTTGACAAGGCTATTGTGAGAAGCAAATGCATGTCATAGAGCCAAAGTGAAGTTGATGTGAGCTTTTGTTATCATTATTATGAACACTGACTGGAACTTGGTCAGATGCAAGAAGAGGCCAGACACCTGGTAGGGTCGGGTCAGTGACCTCGGGGCTTTGGGGACCTCTCTAAACATATGCTGGGTGTCAGGGAGGACCTGCTACCCCAAACTGCCCCTGAGCCTGTAACTTTTGTGTGCTCCCTTCCACGCATTAGCTCTCTGGATCTCCTATCAGCTATGGGTAGAGAGCTTTGGGGAGGCCATTTCACAGACAAGAAAGTGGAGGCTAAGAGGGGAAGTGGCAGAGCTGGGAGTGATGCTCCAGACCATGTGACTCCAGAGCAGGGGCTGACCTCTGAAAGTATATAGCACGGAGACCATCCCCCAGAAATGCCCTCATCTGCAGCCCTGAGATCCAAGTTGGCCTGAGTTCTTGCCCTCTTCCCGCCATCTGCAGGCCCCTCACACTGGCACAAGCTGTATCCCATTGCCCAGGGAGACCGCCAGTCCCCAATCAATATCGTATCTAGCCAGGCTGTGTACTCACCCAGCCTGAAGCCACTGGAGATCTCCTATGAGTCCTGCACATCCCTCAGCATCGCCAACAATGGCCACTCTGTCCAAGTGGACTTCAATGACAGTGATGACCGAACTGGTAAGTGGCCCCTGCCGGCCCCTGGCACTCTTCTCCCTGGAATCCTAACCTGATTGGGGTAGGCTCAAGAAGGGCAGAACACCATGCTGGGAAAGGAAGGCTCCACTTTTCACCAGCTGTGAAGCCTCAGTCTCCTGATGCATAAAATGGGGGCATTAAGACCCTGTTTCCCTCCCTGGGGTCACAGAGAGGAAAAATGAAAAAACCTGGAGTGATGTCTGTAGTGCTGGCATGTAGTAGATGCACAAGAAATACTAATTCTCTTTCTTCTCTTTCATTTAGTGCTTGAGGTCAGGTTTGTTTCCACTCCCTGCCTCATCACTGACCTGCTGTGTGGCCTAAGGCCAAACCCTCCTCTCTGTGTGATCTGGTTAAGCCCAGCAGAAAGAGAATGGAGCTAAAATGTTCTGCGTGCCAGGCCCCTTGTTAAGGTCATAAGCAGTTGGTTTATTCCGCTCAAGAACCTGCCTATAAGATGGGTTAGCAGAAACTTAGTGAACTGGGGAAGGCCAGAACCTTCCTGGTCCTACTCCGAAGTCTCCAGCCCACCTACAGCCTCAAATCCCAACTATCTTGGACCAAAGAGAACCCAATGGGAACTTGTGGCAGCTCCTTCCAGGGTCTCTTTGCCCTGGGATTAGAGGATTCTTCCATGATAAATTCCTAGACAGAAGGCTTGGAGTGCTCCTTAGTATAGGGATTTTTGTCCTTATGACCAGGCCTGTGAAGGGGTCGAGTGGGACAAGGGGGGAACCTGCTAAAGTTTCTTACATAAGGAAGTGACTGGTACTCTGCCCCTCTGTTTCCTACCCCTGCCCCCCATACATGCAATGAAAGTACTCAGGGGAACTCAGATTTCAAATAGAGACTCAAAAGGCAGACAAGAGGAGGAAAGCCAGATAGGAATGATCTTATTTGCTTAGTCCCAAGTTCTCTGGTAGGCTAGGAAAAAAGGGAAAGAGGATCAGTTATAATTCTTGCTGCAGAAGGGAGAAAATCCAACAGATCCTCCGAAGAGAGACACAGCATTTCTGGTACTGAATTCTAAGTAAAAGGCTCTCACCCAGAGCTTTGGGGAGGGACATGGGCCTCTTGATGACATTGTTGTTATTGTTTAGTCACTAAGTCGTGTCCAACTCTTGGCGACCCTATGGAATGTAGCCCGCCAGGCTCCTCTGTCCTTTGGGATTTCCCAGGCAAGAATACTGCCATGGGTTGCCATTTCTTTCTCCAGGGAATCTTCCCAACCCAGAGATCAAATCTGCATCTCCTGCATTGGCAGATTTTTACCGCTAAGCCACCAGGGAAGCACCTAAGATCACAGTTTATGAAGGAGTAGTTTTCAAGTGACTGGACCTTCTGAATAACCTTCAGAGGACACTGAAGGGTCAATTCAAACATAAGGAGCTCAGTGAAGGCCACTCTTGGTAGGGGAGGCCCAAGGGAGCATTCCTCTGGACCACGGATCCAGGGGCTCACTTTCTAGCCTGGCTGGGGTTCTCTCCCTTAATAGAATGCCCAGGCCTGAGGGGCTAGGGGCCCAGTGGAAAGAAAGTAGGCTGAGGAGTGAGAGAGTTGGGGCCCTGCCACTTCCCAGCTGTGTGACCTTGGGCAAGAGACCTACCTTTCCGAGCCTCTGTCCCACATCTGGCCAGGGAGGGTAACAATGTGTCCCCCTCTAGGCCACTGTGGGGGTTGATGTCTGCAGAGTACCTGAACACATAGTAAGTACACCGTGAATGGCAGTGTGTTCTGTGGTCAGGATGCAGAGAGCAGGCTGAGGAAGCCAAGCTCAAGGGTTAGGGAGGGAAGTCACTCTCTAAGAGGTTACACTATGGAGTCCCAGGTGGGGCATGCTTGGAAGAGTGAGCCTCCACAGTCCATATCAGAAGCTCAGTCTACAGGCCTTCCCCAGGATGGAGGCATCCTGATTGGGCCTCAACCCAGAGCCACAACCTTCAGGTTCAGTTAACCACCCAGCATTGCCATGGACAGACCTGCTGCTCAGGAGAGGCAGGACAGTGAGACGGGGCCTCTGGGGTGTCCCATTACCCTCCTCCTTGAGGGGCCCACAGGGGTCAGGGCCCTGCCCCGGTCACCCATCCTGGAGGGGCCTAGTGGAACTCTGAGCCCAGGGCCGTCACCTGATCCGGGAGCTCACATTCAGACCTGGCAGGGGCTCCCTCCACTGCTAGATCTATTTCAGCTAGAAATTCAGTCAGTCCCAGGAGGCCTTGTGTGCGGCCTCTGCTCACTGGGTGTCAGAGTAGGAAAGTCACAAAACCAGCATAAACTGTCCCTGCCAAGGAGGCCATGAGGGCGGGACTCTGGGCAAGACAGGGGCCTGACCCTTGGAGTGGGGACCCTCAAGAGCTGGCCTCTGGACATCAGGCCCTGGGGAGCCACCAGGTTCTGGGCAGGCAGCACAGCCTGGTGATTAGGGCCTTGGGCTCTGGACTTACATCAAGTAGATGTGGGCTTCTATCTTAGCTCAGTGCCTTGCTGTGTGTGACCTTGGACAAAGACCTTGCCCTCTCTGTCTCTCGGTTCTTCCTTTGTACAATAGGAATAATAATAGGTTCTGTCCTTCTGAGTTATCATGAAGACTAAAGAAGAGAATCCTTCTGACCCAGCTCTGAGTCAGGGCTGCAGGCATGGGACGTCTACCATTAGTGGCGAAGAGGGTCTGAGAGGCAAAGTCCCAGCTTCCACTGGAAAGTGGGCAGGAGTGGGGAGGACAGCCTGATGGAAGGATGTACCCTGTCAGTACTAGACTACTAGACTCCTCTGCCACCTACAGGCCTCCAGGATTTCTGCCCTGACCCAGTCAAAGGCATAAGGGAACTGCGTGGGGACCGATCCAAGTCCACTTAGCCCCAGGAATGTTCCAAATGAAAAGTTTATCCCCCTCCTGGGCACTGCCCCGATGCTAATACTCCCGCCTTCAGGCAGTGTGGGGTCTCTCGCGGCTATTGCTACAGGTCCCCCTTTTCCCCGCAGTGGTGTCTGGGGGCCCCCTGGATGGGCCCTACCGCCTTAAGCAGTTCCATTTCCACTGGGGCAAGAAGCATGGTGTGGGCTCGGAGCACACGGTGGATGGAAAGTCATTCCCCAGCGAGGTAAGACCCTCCTCTGCCTGATGGGGGAAGGAGTGGGGTACTGGGGGTCAAGGGTTTGCTAGGTGCCCAGTGTGGGGTCCCCCAAGGGGACCTCCACCCACCCTCAGCACAGGGTCTTCCACCTGAAGTTGGCCCACTGTTGTGCTGATCTGTGTGTCCAGAAGGAATTTTCTGAAGGGCAAGTCCAGTCCCATCACAGCCTTGCAACAACCCTTCAAGGATTAAGCCTGGCCCTCAAGGCCCTGCGTGACCTGGCTTTGCCTGGTCTCATCTCACCTTGACCTCTGCTCATACTGACCTCCATGTAATGAATCCCTGCCCGCACCTGGCTCTTTCATGTTGCCGTTGTCATTGTTTAGTCGCTAAGTCTTGTCCTGCTCGTTTGCAATCGCATCGACTATAATTCGCCAGGCTCCTCTGTCCATGGGGTTCTCCAGGCAAGAATACTGGAGTGGGTTGCCATTTCCTTCTCCAGGGGATCTCCTGGACCCAGGGATCAAACCCCCATCTCCTGTGTCTCCTGCATTGGCAGGCGGATTCTTTACCGCTGAGCCACCTGGGAAGCTTGGCTCTTTCATACCTCTAGGCATTTACCTATGCTGTTCTTTCTGCCTGAAATGCCTTGCCCTGAGGGTTCCATCAGGTAACCCTCTTCTGATTCTTTGGCCTCAGCTGCAGGATCCACTTCCTCAGAGAGGTGTCACATTAGATGGTCATTATCTATTTCATAGTTCATGGAGGGCAGGGCCTGAGCTCTTTGGTCCCTTGGGGCTCAGGAAAGGGTCAGACCTAGAACAGGGTAAATGCTCTTTGACCCATGGCTCCCAGAGGAGCCCCTCCTGCAGGGGGGCCAGGAGTTCTGTGGGAATGAGGGAAGCCTAGCCCTGAACTCTCATGGATCCTGGGAGGCACTAAAGCCCTGGCCTGGCCTGTTGTTGCCCTGTAGCTGCACCTGGTTCATTGGAACGCCAAGAAGTACAGCACCTTTGGGGAGGCGGCCTCGGCGCCCGATGGCCTGGCTGTGGTCGGTGTCTTCCTGGAGGTGAGAGGGTTACCGGGGACCCAGAGGGCCATGGGAGGCCTGGTGCTACCCCTAGTCACAGAACACAGTGAATTCTGGGCTCACACTGCCTTCTCTCTGACAGACGGGGGACGAGCACCCCAGCATGAACCGTCTGACAGATGCGCTCTACATGGTTCGGTTTAAGGTGAGACCAGGGGTCGGTGCCCTTGATCCAGAGCAGCCTGGGAGGGGAGGGAGGGCCAGGCTAGATCATGGAGTGGGCCCTCCCACTCCTCCATCCTGGCAGCAGACCCTTGCAGAGGTGAAGGGTGCAGGTCCGCAGCTGTGGGGCGCTGCGACTGACTCCTCATCATCAGGGCCCATGGCTCCACTGTGTGCCCAGCATGCGGTCTGGTTTGGTATAGGATTCATAAGATGCTTATCACTTTAATGGTCCTCCAACAGGCAGCACCACTGAGGTTTGTCGAGGACAAAGGAGAGAACATGATGCCCCAAGGGCTTAGGAAGCACAGCTTTCTAATGCAAAAGGATGGGTAAAGAGGGCTGGCCAGGCTGGGAAATGGCCTCTAGGATCACAGACATTTGCCCACAGTTTGCCTCAGTGGGTCATATAAGCCTAAATCCTATTGACAGAAATGGGCAGGGAGGATGCTGCTCTCATCCTGGTGGGAGGTCTGTGCTGATTCCTGGGTCCCCCACCCTGCCCCAGGGCACCAAGGCCCAGTTCAGCTGCTTCAACCCCAAGTGCCTCCTGCCTGCCAGCCGGCACTACTGGACCTACCCCGGGTCCCTGACGACACCACCGCTGAGCGAGAGCGTCACCTGGATTGTGCTCCGGGAGCCCATCCGTATCTCTGAGAGGCAGGTGAGTCCTCCCAGAGCAGCAGATGGAGGGAGGTGACACTCAGGTACACCTGGGCAGCGTGACCATAGCAGTCCACAGCCTGCGGTCCCACCGTCAAGGTTCCCATTTTTTGCTAATAAATGTTCAGATTCTTGGGTGGGGGTCAGCTTGGTTGTTAGTCATTAGGACCTGGGCACAGGCTAGAAGGAGAGATCCCTGGATGCTGGGACCGCCCCTAGTGTGCTAGAATCTGAATGCTGCATTTGTGGACGATTCTTAGAGTAAAGATTGGAACTGGAGCTACACAGAGCAGGACCTAGGTTCAGAGGCTCTTTAGGAATAAGTCACTGAGGTCGGGGGTCCCAACAGGAAATGAGTGGGGAGTAGGGACAAGCCCTCGGGGCAGGAGGAGAGAAGGACAGAGCTAGCTGGGCAGGGTATGCCAGATGATGTGTCTGGGGTCAGAGGAGACCACAGCTCCCCCTTCTGCCCTGAGTATCTCTCCTGCCTTAAGATGGAGAAATTCCGGAGCCTGCTTTTCACCTCAGAGGAGGACGAGAGGATCCACATGGTGAACAACTTCCGGCCGCCACAGCCACTGAAGGGCCGTGTGGTCAAGGCCTCCTTCCGGGCCTGAGCTGCCTACCTGCCCAGCCAGTCACCGGGGCACCATCTTCCCAAGGGCTTCCATGTCAGCAGACACCAAACCATCCGAGGCTCCCTGCCTAGGGTTGCTGTGGACCCTCCTTCAGCTGGCTTGCTCCTTGGCCACGCTGGAGGCTTCTTGACGGGACCTTCAAGTCAGGGGACACCTTTCAGCCACCCTGGGGACAGGAAGGGACCTGAGCCGAGTGTGGCCCAAGCCTGAGGCTGCCTTTGCTCTCCAAGACCCAAAGGCCCCTGGGAACCTCCTCTTGTCTTCCCCACTGGCAGTGGCAGCAGCCCTACCCCGAGCTCACACTGTGACGGATGAGACCAAACTCTCCGGGGCAGGCAGCTGGCACTCCCGGAAAGACTCAAGCAATAATTAGAAGAGTGGGCAGAGCTGCCCTCTCAGCATTACCTCTTCTGCGGGCCTCCGCCATGCACGCACCTCACTGCCAGGCCATTAAAACGGACTCAGCCTGCTCCGGGTGACGTGGCCTTCTCCTTCCAGCCACCTGCTGCCATAGGCAGGCACTGGCTACAGCTTATGTAGTATCTCCCTTCATCCCCACCCAGCCACCAAAGCCACCTACATGACAATCCATCCATGCACTGATTAATAAATTCAATCATTCATGCAGCAAATACCCATTGAGTGCTGTGTTCTATCAAGTACCGTTCTGGACATCGGAGAGGCCATGGTGACGAGTCAAGTTCAGGGCCATGGGCACTGAGCTCAGACTGTGATATCTTCATCTGGTGAAGGAATTAAATTCCAACCAGTGTTCCAAGGCAGAGAGATAGGAACAGTGTGTTTGAGCAGAAAGAGCAGGGGTGCCAGCTCCCAGGTGAGAGCCCAGGGTGTCTGTAGAGTGGAGAAGCACCAGTGGGGCCGGAGCCCTGGGAGAGGGCCTGGGACTCTCTCCAAGGCTAGTGGGAGTCAGAAGGATCTGGAGTAAAGGAAGGGGGAGGCCGGATGTGCAAAGGGGGAGATCCCTGGGGAGTGTTGGGGGGCAGGCAGGAATGGCAGCAGGGGGAGATGTTGGCCAGGGGCCAGGAGAAAGAATACAGCGTGGTGGAGGCTGGGAGCAGGGGGCTGAATGAGAGCGATTTAGATAGGATTTAGCTATCTATGAGGGAGGGGGGTGGGGGGAGTGCAGAGTATGTCCCTGGGTAGAGAGAGGTGACAGGAAAGCCTGGGCAAGAGGAGACCAGGAGGGACACACGGCATTTGTGGGGCCCTGGAGAGGAGTGCTAGGAAGGAGTGGGGTGTTGGGGTCTGAGCCAAGAAGAGAGGTAGAGGGTGGAGGGAGGTTTGGAGCATCTTCATTCAAGGTGGTAGGTGAGGCCGAGGGGCAGGAGGGGGAGGGTACTCAGTGAGAGATGCAGCCCAGAACCAGTGCACAACCCTGGAGAGATGCTGCTGAGGGGGAAAGCCACAGAATGAGGTCTGAGACTCCTAATGAGAGTGTTTGGAGAGGTGTGTGTGTGGGGGTGGGGGGGTGGTTGGTTGGAGGGTCTGAGGCAGGGTGGGGCTGGGGTGAGAGAAGTGATCTCTCAGGGTGCAAAATTTAAAGAGGCATGCACCCTCAGGTACCAACTCTGCATCTGAATGACTTTGACAGTGCCCATTTCCTTAAATGTGCACCTGAAGTGCCTTGCTGGACTCACGGTAGTCCCAGCCCAAGTCCAGAAGGGTTGGAGACCCAGCTATCACTGCGCCCCAGATGAGCCAGAGCAGGGAGGATGGTGGACAGTGGGGGCACTGAGGAGTAGGGGGCAGTAAAACTGGAACAGCAAATGTATGCACGAGGTTGTGAAGGCAGCGCCGAGGGGACGCAGTGTCAAGGGCTGTGGAGAGATGGACCAGGGCATGCCTGGGAAGGAAACTTGTTCAGGATGTGCCTGAACATCCTTGGAAAGGAGGCCAACCTGCAGGTACTGGTGGGGCCGGGGTTGCATCTGTGTCTACTCACTTTGGCTACAGCTTGTCATCGTCACTATACCAGGAGGGCACTCCAAGGTCATGGGACACTTCTGAGCTTTGGCTGAGGCCATGAGGAGAGGGCGGAATTGAGCCTCAGACCTCTAGCTGCAAGCCCAGGGAGGCAGGGGAGGGAGAGGTTTGCTCTGTTGACAATCCCCCTTTCCACGCTCATGCTCGGGGGCATACCTCTCCCCAGTGGGTTGGGGCATAGGCACAGGGTCCCTTGCCAAGGGCTGCTCCAGCGCAGGGTGAGACAGTTTTACTCCTGCAGGTGCTCCTGGCCTCATCTAGGGACCATTTTCTCCCTCCACATTGGTGATGGTTGAAGGGAATGAACTGAACTGAACTGTAAGAGATGGTGTCTGGAGGACAGCGTTTGCTCAGCTTGGGGGAAGTGACGCTAGTGATGGGCCTCTGAAGGCAGGTAAAGGGCCTGGGGCAGGTGTCTGACTCTCTCCCTATGACCCAAGAGCTATGATTACCTCCATGTTACAGATTAGAAAGATGAGGCTGGGGGAGGTTAAATAGGCATGTGGCCGAGCAGAATTTGAAGCTGGATTTGTCCAGCTTGCTCTTTGCCAGTGCAGCTGGACCCGAGGGAAGGAGGGATGAGCAGAGCGGTGGCCACCTGGAGGCGGTACAATAGGCCTGAAATCACCGGCCCTGCCAGAGATCTTGGCCACCCTCCCAGGGATGGCAGCACCACAGGCCTGGCGCTGCGGAGGACTTGAGAAATGGGAGCTGGTTTTAAAATAATTATCCCAAGGCTGCCAAGATTCCTCACGCCTTTCATCCTTCCACTTAATTCATTTTTTAAATTTAAAACTATTTTAAAACCAAAAGTGGCCTCCTTCTGCTATAATTACAGTGCAAGCTTTGACCCTATTAACATCCAAATGGGATGCCCCAGCTGGATCCCAAATGCCTCCAGCAGACCTGACCTCAAGGGACACAGGACTGGATCCTGAATCCTCATCCATGGCAAGATTGCCTCCTGGAGGCACTGCTGGGCACATTTAGGATACCCAAGACAAGATGGGCTCTGTTTACTCCCAAGACCCCAGAGACCCCTTCCCAGGGTAGCCAGGTTGACCCTCTAAGATTTGGACTGCAGGGCCCAGGCAAGTGGCCACAGCATGCCAAACCTGTGCCCAGGCTAGGGGACACAATCTTCCCCCCGAAGCACCTCCTGGGCTCCAGAGCATCTCCCTTATCTTGGCCTCACCCTGTCTCAGGAGGTGGGTGGGGGGGGGGTGGGCGGTGGCTGTGAAGACCCAGACTGCCAAGAATTTGCTCCCAAACCCAAAGTCATTCTCTACATCTGTTGCCTCAGGGGCCAGGGAAGGGGTCCCGCTATGGACTGGCCAGGAACAACAACTAGCCAGGATGCTTAACTGTGAGGAAAGTGGTCTGCGGCCTGAGCAACGTTTGGAAACAGGGACAGAGGTGGGTCTGAGGTAGAGGGTGCAAGATAACCTGATAGAGTAGCTGATAGGGTTGATGTCTGGGAGGGGGCCACACTGAGGTTTAAGCTGATGGGGCCTGGGGCAGGGCAGAGGCCTGCCCGCTGCAGTTGGAACTGGGGAGGGAGGTCAGTTAATGGTATCTGTTCAGGCTGGGCATCTTGGGGAGCCTCCCATGTCCATGGGTCACAGCTTCAACTCCAAGCCCACCCTCAAAGGCAGAATATACCACTGGTTGGTTAAGATTCCCAGGAGGAGGGGAAGGTGACTGTTTGAGCATGGAGGGTTCTAGTATTTGTCCCACAGCCAAAGGGCCTGAAGGATGCATCCTTTTGGAGTCCTCTCTGCTCACAAATTCTAAAGCAGATTCACTGACTTCCGCACTTGGGCTTTGCATCACAAGTCACTCAAGCCCTCTGATGCTTGTGTCCGCCTCTGTAAAATGGAAATGATATAATGTGAGTTTCATATGTAAGTAAAAATTTTCTAGTAGCTCTATTTTTAAAAGTAAAAAAAGTCCAAGGTACAGCAATCAGAAAAGAAAGAGAAATAAAAGGAATCCAAATCTGGAAAGGAAGAAATAAGCCTATCACTATAGCAGATGACATGATACTTGACTTAGAAAATCCTAAAGACATCACAAAAAAACTACTAGAACTCATCAGCAAATTTGGTAAGGCTGCAGGATACAAAATTAATATATAGAAATCAGTTGCATTTTATACACTAACAATGAACTGTCAGAAAAAGAAATTAAGAAAGCACTCTTATTTATAATCACATCAAAAAGAATAAAACCCCTAGGAATAAACCTAAGGCAGTAAAAGATCTGTACTCGGAAAACTATAAGGCACAGATGAAACAAACTGAAGATGGCACAAACAGATGGAGAGACAAACCATTCTCATGGGCTGGAAGAATTAATACTGTTAAGATGACAATACTGCCCAAAGCAATCTACAGATTTAATGCAACTCCTATCAAAATACCAGTGGCATTTTTCACAGAACTAGAATGAATAATTCTAAGATTTGTATGGTAACACAAAAGACTTCCAAATAGCCAAAACAATCTTGAGAAAGAAGAAGAAGCTAGGAGCATCACACTCCCTGACTTCAAACTACACTACAAAGCTACGGTATACTCCATACAGAACAGTATGATACTGCCACAGGAACAGATTATACAGCAATGGAACAGAATAGAGAACCCAGAAATGAACCCACACTTATATGGGCAATTAATCTATGACAAAAGAGGCAAGAATATACAGTGGGGAAAAGACAATCTCTTCAATAAATAGTGTTAAAAAGATTGGATCGTTACATGAAAAAGAACTGAAATGGATGACACCCTCACACCATGCACAAAAATAAATTCAAAATGGGTTAAAGACTTAAAAATAAGTTCTGAAACCATAAAATTTCTAGAAGGAAACAGAGGCAGAACTTGCTTTAACATTGGTCTTAGTATATTTTTTTGGATATGTCTCCTCAGTCAAGGGAAACAAAAGCAACAATAAACAAATGGCACTACATCAAA